ATCTTAACACCGGGCCCTTTGGAGAGTGCCAGGGAGAAGGAATGGCAGGTGTGCACGGATCTCTCCCAGCCCCAGCAGGGCGGCAGCCAGGGGCTTCTGCCAAGGTCTCATCCTGTCCCGTCCTGGCCTCCAGGCCTTTCCCTAGCCAGGCCAGGGTTCCTGACATAGACCTTTACCCTCTCCACAGCATAAACCTCAATGCACTCGCTCAAGCATGCAAGAAACTGTGTTTATTTTGCAGAAATCAAACTTAACTTCAACTTCCATGCCTCATCCTCTGGGGCTGAGAAGTCACTCTGGGCACCAGCGGGGCCTGGGGGCTGATGATCAGCCCTGAGCGGGGGCTCTAGGACACCACCAGGCTTCACCCTCCAGGACAAGTGATGTGACAGCAAGGGTTCTAGGTGCCTTGGACTCTGGTTCTTCCCCAAGCATCAGGCAACAGAGTGATGACCCACCAACTGGCCAGCACCTGCCACTGGAGGCTCGGGCACCCCCAAGTCCCATCCTCAGCTCCAGCTCCAGCTCCCACGGTGCAGCAGGGACCATTTTGTGGTCCTTCCCCCATGGGCTCTGTCCTTAGGTACGTGCGTGCGTCCCAAGTCGCTTTAGTCGTATCCGACTCTTTTGTGACCCTTTGGACTGTAGCCAGACAGGTACAGACCTCCGCTTATCCAGCCTGGGACCACCGGACCCTACACCCTCACCTGGGCGGAGGGCGGTCAGTTTAGGGAGCAGGGCCGGTGGGAAAGAGAGATGACTCCGCCGAGGGCCGCTTCAGCTCAAGGGGCGAGGGTGGAGATCCTCTGCCGTCGGTCCCTGGACAAGCTGTGCGTGCCAGGCCGGGCGGGTCTCTCCGGCGCCGGAATTCCTGGGCCCTGGGTCACCGCCCCGCCTAGACCCTGCTGCCCGCCCTCCAACAGGCGGTCCCTGGGACACGGAAGTTCCGCTCTTCACTCCGGCTCAACCCAACCCAGGGAGCGATCCCGGGTGCCAAGCGCAAGTATCGGCCCCGACCTGCAGCGGCCGCCCTTCCGGCTTTCTCGTTTCGGGGGCTCCGATTAGCCAGGCTTCTGGCACGTGACCCTCTTGGAGCCAATCGCAGCGGCCTTATCTGGCACTCGCTGATTGGCTCAGGACAGCCAGGGGCGGGGCGGGGAGAGCGAGGGGGGCGGGGGGAGGCGGGGCGGGGCGGGGCCGAGGGGTGGGCAGAGGGGAAGGGCGGGGCCCAGGCGCTTGGACTCCGCACCCAGTTCGAGTGGCTCTGGGTCCTGCCTTGAGACCCTACCCCCACCCCCCGGACCGCGCAGATGTTGACCGACACTGGCCAGGCACTGACGCATCCCGAGCCCATCCCCAGTCCCGCTCCCGGCTCGGCCCCGCAGTCCGGCGTCTCGCATCCCTCCTCCAGCCCGGCCCAGCCTGACTCTACCCGCTCCCATCCCGACCACCGTCCCGAGTTCTGCCCAAACCTGGCCCCTTGTTTCGACCCCTCAACCCCGCCCCTCGGCCAAGTGCGAGCCCGGCTCCAAGGACCTAGCCTTCACCCCAGAGGCTACCGCTCCTTTCAGACCTGACGGGAACCGCCTGAGGCAGGAGTGTAGCAGATTACAAATTGAGTGGACAGGTGGCCCAGACCCAGGGTTCACCGAGCCCCGCTGGCTGCGACTGTGGACAGCAGGATCGTCTAGCTGCGGATTAGCACAACTAGACAAAATGGTCCTTAATTGCCAGATCTTTAAAAATGTGCCCTGACAGCCTTGATAGTCAAGTGGCTGGTGACTCAAACAGCTCTCCGATGCAGGGCGCCTGCAAGGAGAGACAGCAAATCCAAGCAGAGCACTGCCCAGGGCTGGCTGCCTGCAGAGTGGGCAGCTCTGGGGGGGCAGGTATCAAAGTGTGCTCTGCTTTGTCAAAACAGAGCTAAATGTCCTGAAAGGAAAGGGACTCCAGAAGAGGCAGTGTGATCCTAAAGCAAGCCCAGGGGCAAGGCCACCGTCGGCCGGAGTCCCCATGGCCACTCTGAAATGCTCAGTCAGCTCCTGCCTCGGGGCCCTGGCACTGCTGTTCCTGCCTGGGTCCCACAGGGCTCCTCCTTTCTTACTTGTGGTCTGTCTGCACACCTCACCTCCTCAGAGGTGAAATAGCCACTCTCACCATCCTCTCTGCCCCTTATCCTACTCAGTTTTCTTAGAAATCACCACCTATGTCGTTATTCATCATTTGTCTCCTGCCATTGGAACAATCAGTCCCAGGAGGAAGGACCTCCACTATCCCCAGGCCCTAGAAGAGCTCTGCACATCACAGGGGCTCAGCAACCTGGAGTGAGCAAGTGCCTCTCCCAGGAGTCCTCAGGAGAGGATTAAGGGGTCTGCCTCACCAGGCACTGGGGAAGGGCTGCCAGGGAAGGCAATTCAGGTGACCAGCACATCTGAATCATTGCTTAGGACCGAGATGAGTCCAGGCCAGGTTGGGAGAGGTAGGGGAGGAGGGTAGAGATGGGGGAATGGAGGCTAATGGTGGGGGCACTTTGGGGTGCCCCACTGAGACCAGCCATGCTGGGGATGGAGGCTTGCAGATCCCAAAGCCCGAACTTGCTACAAAGGCTTCTGACCCCGTTCTGAGGTTGAGGGAAAGGGGCAGTGGGTCCAGGACGGTATTCTGGGCACAGCTGGGTGGGGGATGGGTGGGGAGGGGGACAGGGCGGGTGGGGGTGGATGGGTGGGTAGGGAGGGGGATGGGGCGGGTTGGGGGGGATGGGTGGGGAGGAGGACGGGGCTGGTGGGTGGAGTGGGGAGAGTGTGGCGTTTCTTTTGCTGAGACTGGGCAGGTTTTGCTGGAAAGCACCCATGCATCCTCATCACCCAGCAGTGTGAGGAGGGTCACAGGCACCCTCCTCCTGGATAGAAGGCCCAGGTACGGGCGTCAAACAAGGCCACTCTGGGGACACAAGCGGCCACGGCATCTAGGGGTCAGGCTCACAGAGCCAGCAGTTCCCACAGGCACCTCGTCAGGCCTCAGCCTCTACAGACAGGACGCAGAGGCCTCTCACTGGGCCCGAGGTGTGGCCAGCATAGAAAGACCTGGGCCCGCGTCCTAGGGTGTGCAGTGCAGGAGAGGCCTGGGGTGGGGCCTGTGCTGCGGGCCGGAGACTGGGGGCGGGGGGCACTGAGGGACGGGCTGCATTTCAGGTGGAGACGACCCTGGCCGGGAGGACCTCAGAGAGAAAGGGTCGGATGTGTGCGTCCAGAGTGGCAGGAGCCCCTGCCTTGGCCTCAGCGAAAGGAAAAAGGTGCTCCCATCTGGCAGGGCGTGGGCTCAAGCAACAGAGCCCAAAAGGAGCATCGCAGCTGGCCAGGCTCTGCCCTCCCGCCGGGGCAGCACCTCAAGCACCCCAGCCCCTTCGCCTCCCAGGGAATGGACTCCAGAGGCAATGGCCAAGACGTGAAATCACTGTGGAGTTTATTGGCTGTGATTCCATCCGGAGAGAACACAGGCAGCGGCCCCAACATGCAGGAGGAGGCGCAGGCGTCGGGACAGACGGACAGAGGACGTCCACGTCTACACTAAGCTCGGCACTGGGGCGCCCCACGCGCTGAGGATGGGATGCGGGTTTCTACCAGACGCCTGGTCTGCTCAGAGCTGGCTTTTTAAAGTGTGGAAACAGGCATTAAAAAAAGACAAGGAACCCGGAGGGGTCCAGGCGCAGGGTGGACGCCGGGGGACAAAGGGCGCCAGGGGTCAGTATTGCCGTCTAGTCTTATGGCTTCTCTAAGGAGCGGGGGAGGGCCGCGCCCCTGGCCCGCGACGCTGGACAGGATGAAAATTTATGTGAACAGAAAGGGCCCTGGGGACCCAGGTGACAAGCTTTCTGTCAAGATAAAACTCCTCACAGACAGAAGACCTCATTTACCTGAGATTCAACATATTGTGATGCAAATAAACAAGGGGCAGGGGAGCGCTGGGAGGCCCACAGCCGCTTCTGGGGAGCCCGCTGGGCTGGCGGCTGGGATGCCCCTTCGAGGGCCTGCAGGGCTGAGGCGGCTGAGGGTCGGGGCTGGTCTTCGGGGCCACACACTCTGGCCGGCGCGCAGCGCTCGGCCCCCAGGCTCCGGACCGCCTCCCGGTTCTGAGTGGAGGTGCGGGTGTTCAGAGGCTGCGGGCACCCCCACCCCCAGCAGCCTCAGACGGACAGGAGGCGCCGGCCAGGGAAGGGGATGGGTTCGCTGGGCCCGCGGACTCTGGGGGTGGAGAGAGAGGTCAGAGAGGGTCCTCCCAAGCGTATTGCTTTGCCTCCCTTCGCGAGAACCAGCCCCGAAGCTCAGCCTTCCGGAGGCCGCGGCCGGGGGAAAGAGAGGTGGATGAAGAGGGTAAGGGCGCACACGGAGAGCGGTGGCGGCCAGGCCACCAAGGCAGGCAGATTCAGCAACGGGGGCGGGGCTTAGGAGCGGCGGACAGGCCGAACGCTGCCGGGGGAGCCCCAGGCGCCCGCGGCTCGTCCCCCCTCCCCACCCCCCACCCCGGCTCACGACCGCACCCCTGCTATGGCTGTGCTCCTGAGTTGGGCCCGACAGGCGCCCACCAACGTGGACCCTTTCGGTGGCCCGGGCCGTGGGCCCTGCAGGGTGGGCGGTGAGGGGCGGGGCCAGAAGGGCTTCCCGGGGCCTGGGGGCGAGTCCAGTCCACCCGCCGCCGGAAGAGCAAGGGGCTGCCCCCGCCCCCCCCCCCCCCCCCGAGGTCTCCGGCACAGAAGGCAGCGGCCGTGGGGGGCCCGACGCGCCTCCCTCGGTGGCGGGGGCGGTTCTGGGAGCGGGTGGGCTGCGAGGTGGGCGGAGGCTCCCGAGGCGCGAGGGGGCAACGGGGCGGATGGACCTAGGGCTATGGCTTATATCGGCGTGGGGGGGGGGGGGGGCTGCGCTCTGCTCCCGGCGGCTCTTCGGGGGCCTCGCGGAGGGCGGGACCGGGGCGGGCGCGGGGCGGGCTACTGTTCAGCCCTGGCGCTACTTCTTGAAAATGTCCTGCAGCGGCCCGGGCAGGTACTTGATGACCGTGTCCAGGATGCTCTCGTCCTCCTCCTCCGCCGCGTCCCCGCAGCCTGGCGGGATGGCTTTCTTGGGCCTCGTCAGGCTGCCCTCCGAGTTGGCCTCCAGGGCGGCCTGAGCCTCGGCCTCGCGCTCCTCCTTCTTCTTGATGCCGTACTGCGGGGAGGGCAGAGGGTCAGCGCGCGGGCTCTGACCCCGCCCCGCCCGGGAGGGTGCCTGGCGGGGTAAGGCCACCCTCCGGCCCGGGCCCCGCCCTCCTGCGGCCCCGCCTCCCGGGGACGAGGGCGCGGGTGTCAGCCCTGCCCCACACGGCCCTCCGGTGACATGAGGCCACACTTTTATGCCAAGTATCCTTGGATGTCGCCAAGAACCCCCAGCCCTAGGAGGGGCACTCTGCATGCCCCGTGTCCCGCAGTCACTTTCAGGTGGGTGTCCTAGAACCCTACCTAGATGTGCCCTCAGCAACACCCCTGGGCACCGCCGCACACCCCCAGTTCTGGTTTCCTGTGTATCTCTCTGTCCCCAACCCTTTCCAAAAATCTCCCCTCAGATTGAAAGGAGTCCCCCCAAATTCAGGTCACCTGGAACCTCAGCATGTGACCTTGTTTGGAAACAGGATCTCTGCAGGTGTAATTAAGGTAAGAATAGAGAGGAGACCTCACTGCGCTCTAAATCCAGAGCTTCTTTGTAAAAGAAAAGGACACGCAGAGTAGAAAAAGAAAACGTAAAAGCTTGGGAACCACCTTGCCACTAGTCAAGGACACAAACAATGCCAGAAGCCCCCAAAAACTACAAAAGAGGATTCTCAGATTCTCGCCTACAGGTTTCAGAGGGAGAACAGTCCTGCCAACATCTTGATTTGGGACTTCTAGCCTCCAGAACCAAGAAAATTAATTTCTAGGAGACTAACACCTCACCCCAAGGCCCCCAGCACCTTCAGCAGTCCTCCTGGACCAACAAAGCCCTGAAGCCTGTGGTCAGGAGGCCACGAGACCAGGGGAAGACTTCCTGCCTTAGGACTGGTGGGACCAGGGGGGGCCACGCTGGCCTGATGGATTGGGGACAGAGTTCGGGACCCACCCGAGCTGGGGAGGGGGTGCCCTGTGGTTAGGTCTGAGGTCCTGGGTCACACAACATGGAATGTCCAGAAGCAAAGGCTGTGATGTTGGCAAAGAGAGAGTGCCGGGAAGCACACTGCTCAGGGCTGCTGGTCCCAGGAAGGGTCCCCAGGTCCGCTCATCTCTCCTCACCAGCTGCTCCTGAAGGAAGCAGTGGGCTGCCACTGGTGCTGTCGGCAGTGGAGGGGGCACCCTGGTCCTCCAAGAAGACCCTTCGCTCTGCTTCCAGATTAGGGGGGTGGCTGTGTCCCACTCCCCAGCTTGCTCTGCACCCATCTCCTTCGAGGTTGTGGGGGGCTTCAGGCAGGAGGGCAAGTGCTCTTTAGCAGAGTCTGAGAGGAGGAATCCGGGCTCCTGGCCGCAGTGACCAGACCACAGCTTAGGGCCCCTGGGCACTAAGGAAGGAGGGGTAAGGGGTCTGGCCACCTTCCTCAGCAGGGGCCCTAGTGGTCTGAAGGCCCCTCTGCACCCTGGACGAGTCAGGAGCTTGGGAAGGGTCTCCAGGGTAGGGGGGAGGGCTCAGGGCAACTGACCAAGAGGGCCTCCCCCCTGAGCATGGACACCAGGTCAGCCCAGGGCAGAGTGAGACGAGCCAGCCCGACGGCAGCCACTCCAAGGGGCACAGCCCTCTTCCTGGGTCACCGCAGAGGCCGGTGCTCTGATTCGGGGAGGGACGTGCAGGGTGGAGAGACACACCGCCAGGAATTAGGTCAGACCAGAGAAAGCCTCTCTCCAGCCAGAGGCGCAGAGCCCAGCAGTTCCCACAGCCACAGGATGTCTGTCCCCAACTGCGGCACAGGTCTGTGCGCTGGACCCAGGAGGCCGTGGTGGCCAAAGCCCCCCCACGCACTCAGCAGAGGTGCACACACATGCTCAGGGGGACACGTGGTGCTGGCAGAACAGGTGGGTGGCAAGGGGACACACACGTACGGGTAGGAACACATGGTAGGGTCAGGCAGGAGGTCAGGGAGGGACCTGTGTCACAGTTGTCCCCGTTAGGGTCCAGGAAGGAGACCCCAGGCCCCGAGCCAGTCGCTCCACTGAGGCTAAAAGCCATTCTGAGCCTAAGCCACTCTGGGCAAACCTGAGGGCCACCTTGCTCTTTGGGGTCTCTCCCAGAGCCTGGCTCTGATGTGGTCTGGCTGAGCACCTGTCTGAAAGCCCAACTCTCCCCCAGTCCCCCCGATCCCAAACCCCTCCCTCCACCCTCCTCAACCACTGAGACGGTACCACTGAGGCCCGGAGGGAGCCCAGGCTGCCAGCGCCCTGGGCAAAGCGGTGCTCCCTAACGGTGAGAGTCATTGATGTGCCCACAACCTGTTATTCTCAGCACAAACCTGGGCCGTGGGAGCCAGGTCGACTAGGACCTGCCAGCCCAGCGCTGGCTGGAGGGTGGTTCTGGCTCAGAGTCGCTGAACGTGGGTGGCTGGAAACACCAAACCCGGCGGTGCGGTGTAAACCTGAAGGCGGGGGTGCAGACCAGGAAGCGGGGACCAGATGACACAGGCGGGCCAGTCTCCCCCGACCTGGACACGCGCAGTGCGTCATGACGTCATTACGCGCGGGGCGCGGGGGAGGCACTGCCCACCAGCCCGCAGAGGCGAGGAGACCCAAATACAGATGAGGTCCCCCAGGGAGCTGGGGCACGTGGCCTGGTCTGACCCCTCGGCCCCCGTGTGAGGGACCCCCACCCTCCTCCTTGACCACTCGTGAGGTCGGGGGTGGGGGCATGGGGCACACCACGGGGCACCCCACCCCAGACACCAGGAAGGGGCTGCAGCAAGCGGGTCTGGAGCCTGGGAGCCAGCGAGGGCCATTGGGGGAGCCGCCCCTAAAGGTCAGGGGTCCCAACCTGTGGGGAGCAGGAGGGCGGGAGGGGGTCGCCTTGGAAGGCCGGGTAGAGAACGGCTCTGCAGCCATGGGGGGCCAGGCGGGGCCAGGGGACGTGATGGGGGGCTTTGTCGGTGAGTAGGGGGATCCAGGCGCTGAGCTCATTGTCAGGATGTCTGGGGAGAGAGGGCAGCAGTGGCCACCACCCTGGGTGGCCGGGGCAGCCTGACCTCCCACGGCCACGCTGTCCACCTCTGGGGTCTTGGGGGCACAGTGGGCTCCCTTCTGTTGAACTGGAGACTCCTTGGAGGAGGTGACCAAATTCTTGGAGACCAGCGCTGAGGCTGTGAGGACCTGGGGCTTTGGGGCTCTAACATCCAGAGTGCATCAGACCCTGAGCTGCCTCCGACCTGTGAATGGGGGTGCTCACCATCAGCCTGTCTCCCCTGCACACCCCCAACGCCCAGCCCCCACCTGTCAGACTCAGTTGCGTGTGTCGGTATGCTCCCCAACACACCACACCTTCCCTGCAGGCTGCCCCCCAGGACCAAGCCCTGGCCCCCTAGTCCGCCTAATCCTCTGACTGCAGAAGCTGTGCTTGGGCCAGTAAGGAAACTGCAGCCCCAGCCCTAGGGTGGGGTGGGGCCCGGCTCTGACCCCTGCCCTGGCAACTGAAATCAGCAGACACCATCGTGCCCCCTGGGTGGGTGAGACCAGACCCTGGACGTGCCCAGGAAAGAGACCTGGGCCTGGCGGGGAGACCGGCCACTGTGGCTGATGGAGCCATGGTAGGTCTGGGGACTGCCAGGGTCCAGGAGCAACCTGGGGTCTGTGGAGGCAGTTCAGAAGCAAAGGCGCTCAGCCCACCCATGGGGGTCCCAGATGGGGGCGATGCTTGTCTGAGGAAGCAGGACCACTGGCCAAGCGACCCCCGGGGCACCAGGCTAGGGGGCCTTGGGGCTGGCTGCAGCCTTCCATGTGGTGGCCCTGAAAGCTGGGGTCCTGAGGGTGGAGGTGATGAGGGTCACCCTGCCCCCTGGCCTCCCGTGGAACTGCCTTTAGGGTGGGGACACATTCCCCATTTTCACTGGGACTCACTTTGTGACTTATAAGTCCCACTCGGTTCCCTGAGCAAGAAAAGGACCCTGGAGCTAATGCCTGTTCACTCACTGTTCACTCACTCACTTGTTTGCTCAGCATACAACGGCCAAGTGCAGTCAGAGTTCCTGCACTCCCTGCGGGGGATGGACAGTGAACAGTAAACCAGTAAAAAGTATGTGTCAGATGAAGGTTGGCTTCTCAGGTGGCTCAGTGGTAAAGAATCTGCCTGCCAAAGCAGGAGGACACAGGAGACTGAGGTTGATCCCTGGGTAGGGAAGATCCCTGGAGGAGGAAAAGGCAACCCACTCTAGTATTCTTGCCTGGAGAATCCCATGGATGGAGGAGCCTGGTGGGGTCACAGAGAGTTGGATACAACTGAGTGAGAAAGCATGCACCCAGATGAAGGCAAGTGCAGAGCAAGATAAGACAGGAGAGGAGTGTGGAGGGGACAGGGAGGCAGAGCCTCAGGGAGCCCCGGAGGGGAGCAGCCAAGCAAAGGCCCTGGGGCAGTGGGAGCCCTGAGGGGCAGTGTCCCCATGCCCCTGGGGCTGGGGCCCAGGGTAGATGGGGCAGAAGGGACTTTCTATTAAAGGCAGAATGAGTGGGGTGTCTCTACCTTCTGACCCCTCCCTGCCCATGGCTGCCTGCCTCTCTGCTGTCTGTGTGCTCTTCCTGGCTCTTCCCCAAACGGCTCTGAAAGTCTTGAGGTTGGTCCTGGGGGTAAGGGTCTCATGAGCTGCAGCCCCAGCACAATCAATTTGAACTTTCTGCCCAGAAGGGTGTCCAGTGACCAGTGATGGGACACCAGGGGGCACCCCATGCCCCCATCAACATAGGGGACCCCTCATAAGCCCAGAGACCTGCAGGCGCCCACTTGTGTCCTCACCGCAGCTCTGGTGTCAGGCAGAGGCCCTGCGAACCAAGCAGGCGGGAGGGTCCTGGGGACTGAGCTGTCCCCCCTACAGCCCTAGCGTCTTGCCGGTCTAGGGTTGGGGACTGTTGGAGGTGACCTCTGGAGGACCCCTCCGCCTGCTCCCAGCCCCCTTCCACAGGCTTCATCCACAGTGTCTGGAAACACTTCCCCCAGGGCCCAGAGATGGGAGTGTCAGGGTGGGGTGCAGGACAGAACTGAGAGGCAGCACCCCCAAACTGAGTCCCCCCCCCCGGTCTCTGGGTGGAGGTGCCTGGCCCGTGTGGGGCCAAGAGTGGTGGGCAAGGCCCAAGACGCTGTGGACTGTGGGAGACCACGTGGTTCAGGACATCATGGGGCCCTAGGGAGGGCCCTTCCTTCTCCACCTGGCCCGCAGGCCAGCCCACCGTGAAGGAGGCCGGAGCAGCCATCCATGCCTGCCCTTCTGACCCACAAGCTGGATGGGCACCTGAGGATGGGCAGTGGACAGGCCCCTGGGGCCCCAGCTGACAGCCTCATGTGTCCACCCCTGCTCTGGCCTCGGGTCCCCGCAGGTGTATCATGCCCTGCGCACAGAGGAAGGTGCCAGAGGGTTCTGGAAAGATGGCCTCCAGCTCCCAGCCCACCCCCATCCAGCCCACACAGCCACAGACCTGCCCCCCAACACCCTGTCGTTCACCTCGGGGGTCTGAGGCCCACCTGGGTGTGGTCAGGGGCATCCTCCAGCCCGCGACGATTCACCCACCTGTGGCCCACTGGGTGGGCCAGCCCCTGACCACCCTGCTCCTCCTCTCCAGAAGGGCCTGCCCTCCAAGTCCGTGGTGGCAATCCGGGGGGCAGCCACGGGAGCTTGTCCTGCAGAAGCCAGCACCCTAGCCCAGGATCCTAGAAGGATGGGGTCCAGCCCCTGCCATCGGGGCCAGAAGGGCTCGGGCTGCAGGGCAAGCCCAGGCCCGGTGAGCGTGTGTAAACGTGCACGCGGGGGCGCGGGATCTCACCCACCCACCCCCCTCCCCGGGGGTCTCTCTCCGAGGTCAGTTCTGCGAGCTTCGGAGGAGGGGGCCGGCGGCCCAGCCAGGCTTCACTCGGCCCTCCCGCAGGCAGCCCCCGCCCCAGCCCTTGCCCGTCCCCCGTCTATGCAGGCGGTGCGGGCCCGACCGCGCCGCAGCGCCCACCTTGTCGCGGATGCCCTGCCGCATGGCCTCGCGCTCCGCCTCCATCTTGGCGTACTTGGCCTTGCGCTCCTCCTCCTCCTGCCGCAAAGCCTCCTGCCGCTCCTCCTCCTTCTTGGCGGCGTCAGGGTCCTTCTCCTCGTCGCCCCCAAGCATCTTGCCCATGTCCTTGGTGGCCCCTGGGCACAGGAAGGCGGGAGTCAGGCCAGGCCCACCTTCTCCTTGCCTTGCCCTACCAGGCTCTCCGGTCCAGCAGGGCGTTGGCCCCCAGTGTGGGTCGGAGGAGGCTTTGTCTGTCCGGGTGTGACTGCACGACGGTACCCGCAGGCCTCTCTGCTGTGGTTATGTGCGTGGCTGTGGCTATGTGTGTAGTTTTGTGTATGTGGTTGTTGTGTGTCTGCATGTAGTTGTGTGTGTGTGTGTGTCTGTGGGTGATTTTTGTGTCTGTGGGTGGTTGTGTGTGTCTGTAGTTTTGTGTCAGTGGGTGGTTGTGTGTGTGTCTGTGGTTGTGTGTGTCTGTGAGTGGTTGTATATGTGCGTGTGTGGTTGTATGTGTCTATGGTTGTGTGTGTGTCTGGGTGGCTGTGTGTGTGCCTGTGGGTGGTCATGTGTCTGTGAGTGGTTGTGTGTGTTTCTATGGGTGGCTGTGTGTGTGGCTTTGTGTATGTGGTTGTGTTTGTGTGCCTGTGGGCAGTTGTGTGTGTGTGTGTTTCTGTGGGTGGTTGTGTGCATGTCTGTGGTTGTGTGTGTCTGTGGTTTTGTGTGTAGTTGCGTTTGTGTTCCTGTATGTGGTTGCTGTGCATGTCTGTGGGTGGTTGTGTGTGTGGTTGTGTGCATGTCTGTATTTGTGTGTATGTGTCTGTATTTGTGTGTGTGTGGTTGTGTTTGTGTGTGGGGGTGGTTGTGTGTGTCTGTGGGTGTGTGTTTGTGTGCCTGTGGGTGGTTGTATGTTCCTGTGTGTGTCTGTGTGTGGCTGTGCGTGGGGGGGTGGCTGTGTGTATGCACGATTATGGTTGTGTGCCTGTGTGTGGTGTGTGTGTGTGGTTGTGTGTGTCTATGGTTGTGTGTGTGTCTGGGTGGCTGTGTGTGTGCCTGTGGGTGGTCATGTGTATGTGAGTGGTTGTGTGTGTGTGTGGTTGTGTGTGTTTCTATGGGTGGCTGTGTGTGTGGCTTTGTGTATGTGGTTGTGTTTGTGTGCCTGTGGGCAGTTGTGTGTGTGTGTGTTTCTGTGGGTGGTTGTGTGCATGTCTGTGGTTGTGTGTGTCTGTGGTTTTGTGTGTAGTTGCGTCTGTGTTCCTGTATGTGGTTGCTGTGCATGTCTGTGGGTGGTTGTGTGTGTGGTTGTGTGCATGTCTGTATTTGTGTGTGTGTGTGTTTCTGTGGGTGGTTGTGTGTGGGGGTGGTTGTGTGTGTCTGTGGTTTTGTGTGTAGTTGCGTCTGTGTTCCTGTATGTGGTTGCTGTGCATGTCTGTGGGTGGTTGTGTGTGTGGTTGTGTGCAGGTCTGTATTTGTGTGTGTGTGGTTGTGGTTGTGTGTGGGGGTGGTTGTGTGTGTCTGTGGGTGTGTGTTTGTGTGCCTGTGGGTGGTTGTATGTTCCTGTGTGTGTCTGTGTGTGGCTGTGCGTGGGGGGTGGCTGTGTGTATGCACGATTATGGTTGTGTGCCTGTGTGTGGTGTGTGTCTGTGGTTGTGTGTGTCTGTGGTTTTGTGTGTAGTTGCGTCTGTGTTCCTGTATGTGGTTGCTGTGCATGTCTGTGGGTGGTTGTGTGTGTGGTTGTGTGCAGGTCTGTATTTGTGTGTATGTGTCTGGTTTTGTGTGTGTGGTTGTGGTTGTGTGTGTCTGTGGTTTTGTGTGTAGTTGCGTTTGTGTTCCTGTATGTGGTTGCTGTGCATGTCTGTGGGTGGTTGTGTGTGTGGTTGTGTGCATGTCTGTATTTGTGTGTGTGTGGTTGTGGTTGTGTGTGGGGGTGGTTGTGTGTGTCTGTGGGTGTGTGTTTGTGTGCCTGTGGGTGGTTGTATGTTCCTGTGTGTGTCTGTGTGTGGTTGTGCGTGGGGGGGTGGCTGTGTGTATGCACGATTATGGTTGTGTGCCTGTGTGTGGTGTGTGTGTGTGGTTGTGTGTGTCTGTGGTTTTGTGTGTAGTTGCGTTTGTGTTCCTGTATGTGGTTGTGTGCATGTCTGTGGTTGTGTGTGTCTGTGGTTTTGTGTGTAGTTGCGTCTGTGTTCCTGTATGTGGTTGCTGTGCATGTCTGTGGGTGGTTGTGTGTGTGGTTGTGTGCAGGTCTGGTTTTGTGTGTGTGTGGTTGTGGTTGTGTGTGGGGGTGGTTGTGTGTGTCTGTGGGTGTGTGTTTGTGTGCCTGTGGGTGGTTGTATGTTCCTGTGTGGGTCTGTGTGTGGTTGTGCGCGGGGGGGGTGGCTGTGTGTATGCACGATTATGGTTGTGTGCCTGTGTGTGGTGTGTGTGGGTGGTTGTGTGTGTGGTTGTGTGCATGTCTGGTTTTGTGTGTGTGGTTGTGGTTGTGTGTGGGGGTGGTTGTGTGTGTCTGTGGGTGTGTGTTTGTGTGCCTGTGGGTGGTTGTATGTTCCTGTGTGGGTCTGTGTGTGGTTGTGCGTGGGGGGTGGCTGTGTGTATGCACGATTATGGTTGTGTGCCTGTGTGTGGTGTGTGTGTCTCTTGCTGGCTGTGTCTGTGGCTGCGTTTGTGTCTGTGCGGTTGTATGGCGTGTGTGTTGTCTGGGTCCCGGGTGCAGCAGGGGCTCAGCCTCTGTTGCCTGGCAGGGTGGCTGAGTGTGTGGCGGTGTGGCGGGGCGGGGGCGGCCCTGGTTCAGAACTGCTGGCGGCGGCGTGTGGCAGCCCCAAGGCCCTAATTTGTCTGCCTCGCCAGCTGCCGCCTTGCTCATGAGCGCCTGATTCACTGGCGACAACAAACACCTCCTCGGATGCTCCTGTGGCTCATCCCCGGGACAGACGTGTAATCACAGCTGCAGCCCCCGACGCAGGGGCACCGCGGGGAGAGGGCATAGTGGTCAGCGCTCGGCGTCAGCCGCTCTCAGGCCGGGCGGCCGGCCCTGTAGGAGCGCCCTGCACCCTGCACACCACCAGCAGCAGTGAGCCCCAGGTGCTCCCTGGGAACCAGCCCGCATTCTGAGGGGCCCGTGGCCCAGGTTGTCTGGTCTCTGCCGGGCCCACTCTGTCCTCTCATCCTGGGATGGCCCCTCCCAGGCGCAGCTGGAGGCTGGCTTAGTCCACACCCTGGGAATGGGGGGGGGTCTGACTCCGCACCCCCCATAGGTAGAGGTGCCCCCGACCCCGGCCCTGTCCCACCCTCTCCAGTTCAGTCCCGGTGTCCGGAAGCTCCCGGGCGCTGTCCTGGGTGCGGCGGCTCCTGTTCTGCTCCCAGGCTGCACGGGTCCATGCAGCTCAGAACCAGGAGAGACTCTGGCCTGCGGACACCCGCGGGTCTCCACCTCTGCCCCCCGTGGGCAGAAGGAGCCTGGTGGTGGGAAGGGGGCAGCAGCCCGTTGAGTGCTCTGAGCTGAAATCTAGACGTCTGTGGGGCTGGCCTTCCCAGCTGCTGAGACTACTGCCAGATCATGGGGTCACTGTGGGGGCAGGGAGCCCGCCCGACTGGGCTCGGCCAATGGCACAGCTCCAGATGAGGACAGAAACCAGGAGCCTCACGTCAGTTTCCACCCACGTCTGCAAAATTCTGCACAGGAGACTGTCAGCCAGTGGCTGGAGCGAAACTGGGTCAGGAGCAAAGCTGCAGACTCGCTGTTCTCGGCTCCTAGGACAGGCGGCCGGATCTCTCTGCCTCGCGGCCTGTTGTCCCGGCAGGCAGTGCTGGCGGGGGCAGTGGGCGGGGGGCTGGGCAGGAGAGCCCCGACCCTGAGCAGCTGCGACCTTCCCAGCCTCCCTGGCAGAGGGGCCACCTACAGCGTTGTTGGGCGGCCTTTACACAGATCTCCCCTCTTGACCAAGCTCATTCACACTAAAGTGAGAGTGACTGATAGCTCGCTCTCCTGCATGGAGAGGACTGGCATCGAGGGCAGAGGTATGTGAACAGTCTCGTCTGCATCTCTCTTCTGATGGAAAGTGCGTAGAGGCTGGGATGGGGGCTGGAGGGGCCACACCGACTGGGTGCTTTGGGTCCCCCAACCTGCTCCTCCAACGCACCATGTGCACTCTAGGCCTAGTGATCACACAGGCATCTACTGAGCACCAGCTATGTGCAGAGCTCTGCGCACCAGGTGAACTGGCCTTGCCCCCACTGGAGCTCTGGGCTGGTCCGCCCCACCTGCCTGGGAGTCAGAGAAGGCTCAGGGGAGCGACTCCAGCAAACCAAGGGTGCTCTGGGAGGCTGGTGGCCTCTCCCAGGCCGGGGGCAGGAGACCAGAGGTCAACCCACCCTGGTGAGACGGTGCCAGCACCGATGCCAGGCCTTTCCTGTGCTCTCTGCCCATGGCCCCAATCCTGCCTCCACGCGGCGCCCCCACACCGCCTTCACAGCGTTTGCAGGTGAGCTGTCCCACGTGGTCGCACTCAAGGCCCAGACAGACAGCCGCAGCCCGAGCCTCCCGAATCCAGGACTTGTTGGCCACATGAGGGGTGCAGGAGCTGACACCATCCATCCCTCACTCTTGTCTGAGCCTCTGTTGCCTGGGTGGCTCAGCAGGGGAGTGCCAGGGCGGGAGTAGCCGATCCCCCCCCCCCCGGCAGTCAGGTAAAGCCCCCAGGAACAACTTCAGTGCAGGATGAGGCATGGGCAGTTTTCTCCCCTGGAGCAGGTCCCATACTTGGGCGGGCAGGTTGTGCACAAACCCAACAATGAGAGCGAGCTCTCTAGAACAGTGCTCACAAAGGCCCTGTCCAGGAGACACCTCGAGAGAGAAGCAGGAGGAGGTGGGACGCCCTGCCCAGTGGCCCATGTCGGGGGACACAGCGCAGTGCTACAGGGGAAGGGGGCCAAGTGATCCGAGTGGACAAGCCACCTGCAGACAGACTCACAGACGTGCGACCTGCACACGTCAGTGACAGAGGGCCGCAGAGCCCTGAGAGAAGAGCCCTGGTTCCCGGGGCAAATGAGCTCCTTTGGGGAAGCGTGAACCTGGATTCACATAACACCACAAATTTTTATTAGTTATTAGTCTGAATATCAACCCAAAATAAAAGTGGGCAAA